CCCCACCCAGGCGGCCTCTCCTCCTCCTTCGCCGGGTTAGACTTCCCGCGGCGGCCGGCCCAGCGCATGCGCGCGGCGCTCTCCCCGCCTTTTAAAGGAGACGTCCCCTCTTTGGGGTGCGTGGTCCTCCTGGAGCGGTGCGAGTCATTATTAAATAGAAATGCGCGTGTGAGCGAATAAGCAGGTGCAGGTCTGTGCATGCATACGCATATACATATCCTAAAGAGGTGTCTGTTAAATGTGTCTATTATATATGCTCTATACAGTGTGTATACTAAAAATACGTGTTTGTGTGTGTATATACACACTATACTAGCGTGTAACATACATGTGTATAAATCCAATCGTGAACTTACTTGTGGGCATTAAGTATAATCGTATTTCAGAATGACTAGGTGTGATGGTTGCTTTCAATACTGGAAATATTTTAAACGTTTTCCCTGTTAAATGCCCATCTATGCCCATCTGTGCCATAAACGCAGCGCCCTGTTCTTCCTCGGAGGTGGAAGGTGCGTCGTGCTGATCTTAGATTTCCCCATCGAAATCAACTGGACAAAGCCACACTTGGCCGGGTTTGTTCAACCTGCTAAGCCATAAACCATGGCTTGCTGGATCCACAGAAACCACCAATCTCAGTTTAGCCTGCTGTGCTTTCCCAGTTTTTTAAAATATTTTTTTATCACGCCTTTATTACTTTTATAAGCAAGGCGGGGGAACATGCTTCATACCCCTTCCTCCTATTTTCCCCACAACGACAACCCTGTGAGGTGGGCCGGGCTGAGAGAGAGAGAGACTGGCCCAAAGCCACCCAGCCGGCTTTCGTGCCTCAGGTGGGACTAGAAGTCACCCTCTCCTGCTTTCTAGCCTGGAGCCTTCACCACTAGACCAAACTCGCTCTGGTTTAATAGAGACACTATATTAAAATATAATAATAATATATAGGTTTAATAGATATAATATATAGGTTTAATAGAGACACTACATACTCCATGGCTTGTATATGAATATGGGTCAGCCATGATGGCTTCCCAAAACTATGGCTAAGCAAACCAGGGCTTAGTGTCCTACATGAGCCAGCCCCTTTTTGGGCAGCCCTGAAAGCCACATTGCCAAGGTCAACTGACAGATGACCAATAGCCACTCTCCAGCCAAACGGAACCTCGGGCAGGAGAATCCACTGATGTCACATATCTGCCATTCCAGGTGACCGAGGATGGTCCAGTTCACATCCCTGAGCCTTAGAAATGGACTTCCAGAAGAAACAAATCAAGTTTATGGCCCAGAAATACCTGGACTGCGGCCAGAAATTGAAATCTCAAACGTCAACCCTTTATAAAAGGCAGGTACAGTCCTCATAGTTATGAACATGCAGCTGGTTCTGCTCACCTGAGACTAGGTGGGAAGACCTGAATCCCTACTTCTTCCCTGGCTGTTAAAATAATCTGCAAAGTAAGAGGGTAAGAGAAATCTTGCTGGTCAGTCCCCACATCTGTAAGTACATAATCTGTAGTTTGTGGACTAAGCCAAGTTTGACTGGTCCACAATGGCTGGGTTTGCAAACATGTCAACCAACCGTTTTATAGTTTAGCATATGTTGAGAGCCAGGTCTATATATGTTCACCTGGCCTTGGGATTTTGAGCTAGGGTTAGGATTTTTGTTGGTGTACTGCCTACTCAACCACAACAGTCTCCTTGCTCCTGTGAGTTAGGGTGGCCTTGAAACTGGTGTTTGGAGTTATACATGTTTTAAATCTTATGGGAGTTCAGTATCCATCTCTATTGTTTTGCCTAGCATGGGTTCAAATTTCTTAGCTGATGTGCTCAGAATTGAGGATCCTACTCAAGGCAGAAGGACCTTAAAGTCCATTTCTTGAGAGGGTGGTGGATCTTCATCCCTAGAAAGTCCTAGAAGAAGCTCATCAAAGTTTGTAGACTTCATCTACAACTTTCTAGAGGGGAAGATCTAGACTGATAGTCTGGATCTGTTTCAGTTTAGATCCTTGATCTGTAGTGGAGGGATAGGTAGTATCCATCATGCCCCCTTAATCTTCATTTGTGCGTGAGTCACTCTTGACAAGTCCCTGTAGTTTTCTTGGCAAGAATTTCAGAAGTAGCTTGCCCTTGTCCCCTCCTTCCTGGGACTGAGAGAGGCTTTGTGCCTAAGTAATAAGGTAAAATAAGTTAGTACAGTAATTGTGATACTTTTATATTTAAATGCAGTAGAAGACAGCTTGTTTTTTAATTTTTTTTAATGAAATAAAGCAAAAGAACACTAAGGGAGAACCTCAGCAGTTTCTCTTCTGATATAGGTATTAACAAAATATCTATGAATATTGTGATATCTGTTAATAGATTAATGTCTACTAATATTTCCTTCTGAGGTAGGGATTAACAAAATATCTGTCAAGGCAGGTGAACTGCGTTTTGCGGACGCATCCCCGGCATTTGTTAAACATTTCAGATGTGCCCAGAAGCAGCTGAAGTTGCTCATTCTTGCTTTGGGGTATGGCCTCCACCAGGCCCAGGGGCCAACATGCAGCTCTTGTGGGTGGTTTTGATTATTCATACCTCTGATCCTTGTCTCTCTCTCTCAACTACTTTTGGTTTAGGAGGGATATGAAGCTGGCTGACTGATTAGCCAGTTGCAGATGATTGCACGGGGTGAATTGTTGTGTTTGTTTCCAGGGGCCGCAAAAGCAGAGAAACACGTGCACCCTCCATATTCCCAGACATTTACGGAGGAAGGAAAAGCAGTAAGTGGAGACCTTCAGGACAGTGTGCCAGGTTCCTTTTCATATTCTTCATGGTCTCAGGGGTGGCTTAGTGGAAAAACTGATCATGCATGATTCCAATGTAGCAGTAGGACGTTGGTGTGCTGGTTTCAAAAGTGCAGCATAACATAGGGCATATTGAAGCTCAGTTTTCTAACTCGGCATGATTTAAATAGGACTGCAGACAGGCACCAGAGGGAGAGAGAAATTTTTCATGTTTTGGTAATGTTCCGTGCCATCCTTCGGCAGCCCAGATGAATACCCCTACGTAAGCAAATTTTTAGAATGGAAGAATATCTGGGAGATTCTTAAACAGCCTCAAGGGGGGGGGAACACACACACACACCCCACAAGGGGGGGGGAACACCCACATTGGCACTTGCATCTTCTTGGAAGCAAGGCCGAACCCAAAGGCTGCGTTTGCCCATCCCACTAAGCTGTGCTTTTGGAATAAGCCACACATTAAGCCAACTGCACAGAGGCCAGGTTCGCACACGCTTAGTCCAGTTCGAGGCGCGTAGAAGATGGCTGAATGAAATACGCAAACCCCGCTAGCGTTTTATCTCCCCACGGTCTTGTGAAACGAGAGAATGGCTGAAAGCGGTTGGAAAGTTGGCTTGCAAGTCACCCAGCCCCATTCTCCCACTTAGTCCTCCAAAAATGGGGTTTTTGAAAACCATCCACCACTTCAGTTAAATAGGGCTGCCTCAAATTTTTTTTTTTTTTTTTGGTTTAGGATGCCATGCAGCCCAAGCACCCGAAGCACCCCAAGGTCGGATGCAGTTGCTATTGAATGTGGACAGTCCTGGTCCAGCGGCTTATTCACCTCCCAGTGTGAACTGCAGGGAGATCATCGCTCCATCCTACACATTTGGGTGGAAGACTCCCCCTCGAGGTACTGGGCTAGGGATTCAGGGAATTTGAAGCAAGCTAACCTGGAGCCATTCATAAGCCAGGTAAATCTGCAGGTAAAGAACCACCTGGCTTAAAGAGGAAAGCAAGGAAGCTGTTTGTGACAAAGGAGAAAGGGATCTGCGTAGAAAAGATCAACCAAGGGAGGACAGGATTCAAGCATAGATTAGTTAAGCTTGCAGCTTCGAATTGTATTTTCTCCCTTGCAATCTCACTCTGCGATGCCCATTTCTGAAAGAGGTTCAGCACTAGGCTGTCCATGGACAGACGATCAAGAGTCCTTTCTGTCGACTCCATAAAGCAGTGGACGTGGTCCACCTCTCACATTAAGCCATGCTTTGTTGAATAGCGGATAGTCGTGCACGTATTGAGCCAACCCCAAGCCCCATTATGGTTTAGGGCAGTGTGTGAACCTGTCACGCAGTAGCTAGAGCTGGCTGGGCAAGTGGCTTCCATGGGAGGTTCTTAAGATCCTTCACCCAGTCAAGGGAAAACAACAGTCGGTTTCAGACATTTTGCTCTACCAGTGTGATGGGATGAAGTGGCAAAACAGCAGAATGGGTTGTGCCCTATTTCAGGAGACAACAGGGGGAAAGAGTTATGGCCTCCAATGTTAAAAAACACTTAACCCTGTTAAAAGAAGCCCCGTATGTAGAAAACTTTAAGCAGCAGAGACCGACCTGGGCTAGAACCTTTGCTGAAAGTTGGCAAACATCTACTTGAAGGAAGCTTCTGACATAGGAGCATTCATGTAGCAGGCCAAAATGGTGTGGTCTCTTCCTGTCACGTCTACTATTTTTTACCTGTTCAGTGTGTCAACCAAGTATCAAATTGAATTAGGAGAATCCGGGGAGATTCTCTTTGAACCCCTCTGCTGTAGTGTGACTTTTTCTATTTTTACTAGAAGGCGGAGGGCGCCGTGCCTGGCAGAAATCTTGGTTCCAGAGCAAGAACCCTTTCTCAAGGAAAGTGGACTTCAGCACCGAAACCAATGTACGTATCACTTCCAGGAAGAGCACAACCGCATTGAGGCCCCTTCAGATGGGATGTCTGGGGGTCCACCGATGGAGATCAGTAAACCTAGACAGTGCAGTAGATCCGCTCTAGTTCACCTCTCCACCTTTTTTTCCAGTGGCCTTCTCCTTCACAGTATGGCATACCCTTAGGATCTAAACTTGCCAACCGGCCAAACACCCCAAACTTTACCTTTGGCCAGAAGGGAGAGTTCTCTTTCGTCAACAAAGGTAAGATGATCCCAAGAAACGTTCTCCGGGTACAGGAAGGAATTCTTGGTCCGAGCAAGCCATCAGGGAAGCCCAGCAGGTTGAGGAACATCTAGGTTTCGTAGAACCTTGGACAAGCAGGTCAACAGCACTTCGGCTGACCTTAGAGCTAAGCAGGGCCAGGCTTGTTTCATACTTGGATGGGAGATGGCCAAAACATCCCAAGAGAAGGCAATAATAAACCTTCCCTGTATATACTGGCAGGTAATTTTCCTTTCCCATGGACAGGATGTCTTCAGAATGGGTCCCTTGCTTTTCAGCATCCTCAACATTCCCACTAAAGTGCTCCCTTTCTACCTGGGCCTAAAGCACACCATCCCCTAATGGGGGAAATGATAGGGAGCCAAGCAACAGAAGCTGCTCATCCTTCATGCTACTGCTTGGTTAACCAGAGAAAGCAGGTGACCAACAGTGACAATGGAACTGGAGCTGGGGGAAAGAGCAGGATAGTCATTCTGGACAGTTGGCCTATAATCAATGATGCCAACTCCTGAGGGTGGCCCCACTGCTCAGTCCCAGGCCTTTTGTTGATGTACAAGGGTGCTACTATGGGACCAACCCACAGGAGCTGTGTATTCCACAAGTCTATTGATTCTACTAGCTCAACTTTACATTTCCAGCAGTGGGGAGGGAGCGATGGCGGCACTTGTACTCAAAAACATACTATTTTGGGTAACGTGAGCTTCAAAAAGATGACCTCTCTGAATTCCCCCCCCCCCACGCCCAATAAGGTTACCACTGCTTTCCCTTGCAGAGGCCGTAAATGAACCAGGACCCAATCAATATAACATTGAACGTGCGTATACATTTGTGGTACACCGGTCACCCTCCATCATCATCAACCCCCTCAGTCTGTACAGATGGATTGAGAAAGGTGAGGAACAGAGAATCAGCATTCATTCCTTCAGATAACATGGATAAAGTATCCTCCTTTTGAAGGCCACATCCTCCCAAGGGGAACCTTGTGAAGGCCATATGGCAGATGGGGCTGAAGCAAGCAATAGATGGACTAGGATCTCCACAGCCCGTGGTCCCTTGCGACATGGGGCACTTTTTTCATTCCCCCAGCTTTAGAGCAAAATCCAGATGTGCAAAGAGACATAAAATGACCTCCTGCCACAATCTTCTTTTACAGAGGGAACTCCAGGTCCCGGGACTTACAACGTGGAAAGGGGGCATAACGCTCGTCTGCCCAGCTGCCCAAGTTTCTACATCCAAGGCGTGAGACGACCCAAGAAACACGAAACGGGCCCATTTTCAACACTGTGAAGCTACAGACACAATGAAACCAGTTTGGGATAGTTCCCACTCCATTTCTGCTCAGCATAACATCTGTGGGCCGCTTGCAATTAATACAAGCTTGCGAAAAAGCCTCATCTCTTGTTTATAAGCCTTCTGAGCGTCAGGTTGACTTATATTAGTAAGGGAGAAGAAAAAATAAAAGAATATCCCTCTATGGGAACGATGTGGACAAAACCAAGTCAATTGGAAACGTTGCTTGTTTGTGGAAGAGAAGAAAGTGGGCACTTTTAAAGAGAAAGTACACAGTATTTGCCAACTTTACACTTAGAAAGAGACAGCATTCTGGTGACTTTCAAAAAGTCTGCCCTGTATCACATTTCTTGACCTGATCTCCATTTAAAAAAAAAAATCCAGGGCAATGGAGAAGCAAAGCCCTTTCACGCTTGTACATAAGCATTTTAACTAAATCAGATTTGTACAATGTGGGAGGCGCTGCAGCTAAACAAGAAAACAGGAGTAGTGTGGCTTTCTGCTTCTCTGGTTATATACTGAGAAAAACCTTTGGCTGTAAGTCAGCCAAAGACAGATTTTGATAAACATTAAATCCCTACTGTTTAATAGTAGGGCTAGAAAATATTTTTTGATAGACAAGCAAGTGGCACAGATGTACCCAATTCTGTATCAGAAGGGGGCTCTTTGGAGGGGGGGGTGTTTTGTTTTATTTACAGTCTCCAGTTCCTGCATTTTTGTCTTAGGAGAAAACTGATTTTTTTTTTTAAAGGAACCTAACTGGAGTTTTAAAAAAGGAAGTTGTGTTATAATTCTGGGACTAAGAAAAAGGAAGCTTTCTATGTTCATAATTGCAGAAATACCCATTAAGGCAAACCAGATGTAATTTGTTCAAGTCTAAAAATATAGCTGAGATAGAATTCGAGTTAACCTGGCACCATTTTTTTTATTGTATTTGAAATGCACACACAATCCGTTCAACACTCTTGAGGGACTGTGATGGAATCACGCCCCAAGAGTCAAACCTTGCAGAAGCGGTGAGGAAGATATGCCCCTGAGAAAGGGCTCCACCTTTCATGCCAATAGCCAAACGAACTACATGTATTATGTAAGGACAGAAAGATAGTTGCATCCAGTCCATTCAGGTGGCAGACTTAGCTCTGTTGAAGAAGGAAAAAAATAAAAGGCCAACTCAGTTTATTCCTCATTGATTGCCTTTGTCTCCCACCCTAATCTTGAGAGTTGAAGGCACTGTACAGAAGCCTCCTCTGCTTCTTAACCCCACAACACCCCTGTGAGATGCACTAGGGAAAGAATCACTCAATGAGTTTAATGGGTAAGGAGAGGGTTGCAACTTAATTTAGCTGACAACTGTCTATTGTAGGGAAGGCAAACACTCACCGCCGGGCACTCAATTGCACCGCTGTTGATGTCATCTATGATATCGTGTGGGTGTCTCCCATCAATACTGCAGCCAACAGACTGAGCGGTTCCCAGGATCTCCTTAATAGTCCCTGCAGGAGAGCCAGGAATGTCCATATTCACACTGACATCCTGCTGTGCACATCACAGCATGCCAGCTTACTTCCCTAGCTCAAAATGTAGAAAGGCCCACAGATGTTCAAAAGCCAGCATCTCCCCCACTCTGTAGTGGGAGGATGTGAATCTCAGCCTGCTAGCCCACCTGTTTTCTCACAGACAAGGTCCCCTTCTATCATCCAACAAACATGGGGAGGTTGATCAGATCACACTCAGAAATCAACCGCTCCTCCTTTGGAGGGGCTGCATCTGTCCAAGCCACCCCGTTAACAAGGTGAATTTCAACAGAAGAAGCAGAGTTCAGAGGGAAGGGTAAGCCTGCTTCGCAACATATTAAACTGTAATTCAAAAGTCTACTTTTACTGAACTACAGTAAGGTGTCTCTCACACGCACTTTGCCCTCCTCACTCCCTTTCAATCTACAAACACTGTCCTTTCAGCACAGAGGAATTCATTTTAGGATTGTGGATTCTTCAACATAAGCTGAAGAAGGCTGACTTCGAACCCAGCTCAGATTCTGGGGGATCTGCCACTCGTCAAGAAGACAGAGAGGCTAAGTCGGACAATTGTCTTAACGCTGTGTAAGGCCACTGCCTGGCTCTGTAGAGAGGAAGAGACTCAGAAAAGCTCAACAATAAAGGAACCCATGGATGAAAAACACTTCAAGGTCACCTGTATACTTCTAATAACTGTCAGGCTGTGCCCCGAGCTACTGAGAACCAGACCCTCCATCTCCATTCCCACATATTACCTGAGAGTTCCCGGGCCAAGGATCTATGTCTCATCTGCCGGGCAATGTTGATGATCTCATCGAAGCTGACACTGCCGCTGTGTTTAACTGTAAGAGAAAACAGGAACCCAGTTGGTTTTTGCAAGTGTGGCCATCTAAAGTTTTCAGAAACTTCGCACTTGTCATTCTACTTCTGTTCCCAGTCTTCGGCACAGAGTTACCCACGGAGAGAGTAGCTCTGTTTCCTTGAAAGGGGGTTCCTCTCAGCTCACCACTGGAATGTACAAGCCATAGATGAAAATGGGCAGGCACAGTGGCGGGTGGCTGGTGAGAAGGGGGTGACTGCTATGTATTTCAAGGCAGTTTTGATCCTCACCCCAGCAAGTCCCCCTCCAACCCCAATGAACAGGCCTGAGTATTACTGGAGATAACTATGAAACTAATTTTAAAAATTAGTTTCAAAGTGAGCTTGAATCACAACATCCTATACATATTTTGCTGGCTTCATCCAATCTTTATAAATCAACACGTGTCTTTCCCACATCCTGATTTTCTCAACTGCTCAGCTACAGAGACCTAAGGCCTCTACTTACCCCTAATATCAGAACTATTATTTCTCCAAGATTCATTGATTGATTGACTCATACCATGACAGGTATTAGAGAGGGGTTTAAAACACAACCAAATGGAACCCAATCCATTTCTGTCCAACGCATTGTGGAAGACTCCCTAAATTTTTCATGCTTGGCTTGCTTCTCTGAACTAAAGAGTCAGATGGAACATCTTCTCAAAGAGCTGGCTGTAAGGACAGTTCCTGGCAAGCTGATGCATGATCGGCAACTATCCTCCTTGCTTGGAGAAGGAGCCCCAGCAAGCCTCGCCCAAGCTGATGAAGCTATGTGCATGCAGTCACCACAGGTAGACACTTACTGTTCTTCTGCTTCTTGCGGTCACGAGGAGGTTCCTTCAGAGCTTTGATAATCAAAGCAGAGGCTGATGGCACCACCTCAATCTACAGGGTAGAAACAGACAAATTGTGAGATGGGAAGGAGATCAGTCACTGACCACAGAAAGCCTCTTCAATTCAAAAGATATTCCCACCACCCAGAAACATAGAGAAGAGACAATATGATGAATAGAGGCTATAAATTATTTAAAAAGGAACTGCAACATAATAAGACTTGACAGATCACGACACAAGGTACAAACATTTTAAAGTTTCTTATTTCTGCTCCAAACCATCCAGTCCAGCTCAATTATGCTACCCAGGTTCGACTTAGCCTTCATGCATCAAATTGAACCACAGCGCAAGCTGATTTCGGCTTAGGGGGTTGTGTGAACCAAAGCCAGTTTATCCCACAAACTATATTTAAATAAAACCTATATAAGCCCCGTTTCACAAAGCTCTGCGCACCTGGCTTTTGATTTAGCACAACACTTGCGAGATGCCTGAAACATTTATAAGATGGCCAGCCTGTTGCATAAGGTTGCTGTAAGAGGAAGAGGGTGAAAAACTACATAAACCCCTCTGACAGATCCACAACGCGAGGCAAGAAACTGGTTAGTGCTCCCAAGCTGCAAAACGTAGCCAGCTCTTACACCCTACTATGTACCGTTACACTTTATTAATCCATCAAGGCCCAGGATTCCCCAAGTCCTTATATTCAAGGTCCAGGCTTAGAGACCTCCCACGCAGTAAACTGAGTGGTACTCATTTTATCGACCTCGGAAGGATGAAGGGCTGAGTCGACCCTGCCAGGATTATGGCCCATGGTGGCAGCTGGCCAGTCTTCCAAGACTTGGCACCCTGACCAGGGAGCCATCCCTTTCGGCGTTGTTTGTACCTGTGCTTGCCTGTTCTGAATAGTCAGCTTCACGGTGATCCTCAGCCCCTTCCAGTCACCAGTGGCCTTGGCAATGTCATCTCCCACTTTCTTTGGAGACTGAAAGGGCAGAAGCAGAGTTTTCATTACAGCACATTAGCAAACACCAACGTTTTGTTTCAGTATCGGCCAGAGATTCAGAACTCTGGCTCTGAAATAGGACATACATTGACTAATCAAACTGACAACTGTTCATTTGTTCAAGTTTACGCCTTGCAAGTCAAGCAATGCCGATTATTAGCCCAGATGAAGGCAATTTACCACCACTCTGGGGGTGGTTCTAATGGCTAGCCCCAGAGGGTGAATGGAGGGAGGGAATTGCGTACAAAACTTAAAATCTAAAGGGACAAGTTGCTCATAAAAGCTTCTAGCCCACAACAGTTTTTTTGTTAAATTCACACATCCTAGGTGAGCTGGGTTAATCAGCGTGGATCACATTTTAGAAAAGATTGCTTGCTTGATTGCTTGAAGCAGCTTCTGAGCCTCTTGGGCATAATTTGTGAGCGTCCTAGCTTGTAAGGCTACAAAGTCTTCCAAATCAAGCCCCAAAAGACCACTTTGGCTCACGTTAGAGATTCTGCTGGGTGAGGAAGAGATTCCCTAAGTAATCAGATTAAATTGAAAGCTCTAGTTCAGAAAACAGAGAAGACATACCAAACCCAAAGGACCAATTTTGGGAGCCAGAGCAGACGTGGCTCCGACTTCACCTCCAGTGCACCTCAGGAAGACTGCCAGAAAACAAAAATAAACACCATTGGATCGGGACTGATGACAACTATTAAAATAAAGCAAAACACACCCCTGAGATTCCCAGCAACTGCACGGTGATATCCCTGCAGCCTTCTTGGGAACAACACGGAAGCATCTTCCCAGTCTAGCCTACAGCTCTGGGATATCCTAGTGGTCTCCCATCCAAGGATTCATGAGATCTAGCCTTGCTAAGTTTCAGAGCTCAGACACAAATGGCCGCCTTCTCCAACTAATAACGTTCACCGACAAATAATCTGCGGCCAGTTGGGTGAATGCACCTTGTGCAACTGGGAGACCAGTGCAACCGGGCATCAGACCAACACACCAGCCAACCCACCACCCAAACTTTTCTGATTATAAAGCGCGTTGCTCTCCCACCATGTTTGGGCCTTCTGCCTCGACATCTTTAAAGAATTTTAAAAAAGAGGAGCCAAGCTGCTATTCAGCTCATTTTGACCCAAAACAGCTTCCTGGGCCTGAAAACCATGGAATAAAAGTTGCTAATTCACTAAGGCAACATATTCCCATATTAGCAATGGGGGGGATATAAACAGATGGGCAACATTTCCGGACAAAGCTCCCAGAGATTCTACGGCTGTGTGGCAGAGCACATTTACAGGTTTTTGTTGAACTCGCACCACGCAAGTGACACACGTCAATCAATGTCGCTTCAGGGACCTATAAAGGGCCACGTCATTCAGCTGAGTTCACACGCAATAAGCTTGTTTCGTTATTTTGCAGTTTAGTGGGTAACCCAATTGCAGCTGAGCGCAGAAGTTTGTGCAAAGCGACGAAATGGGGCTAATTCAATGAAATGGTTCAGGGTGTGGCAGGATTAATCGTCTGATAATTAATTAATTAATTAGGTGGTTAATTAATCACCTGATCAAGCGAGGCATATTGGGTTAAAAAGGAAAGGGAATAAGACCACAGGAATTACCCAAGGTCAGACAAACTCCCGAATTAAGAAAAATAACAGAACCATAAGCTGGACACGCCACGAAGCGTTCACACGTGCCGGTCCTGCAGGGGTTTCTACCAGACCGAACAATTCAGCCGGATCAAGCCTAAACGCCGCCTGACATTAGGACAGCCAGGCTCCATACCCACCGACTTTGATCTCGTTGGGGTCGAACTTGGGCGGCATGGTGGCGAGAGCAGCGTCGGGCCAAGTTCCGAGTCAGATGGCGGCGGATCTACGAACGACCAGCGCGGCGCCGCGACGAAGGCAAAAAGGCCTCCCGGCCGCGATCCCGCGAGATATAGCGGCCAAGATCTCGCGAGATCAAACGAATGGCCGTCTCGACAACGGAGGGCGCGAGGCGAGAGACACCATCTTAGCTTTGGGCAAAGAAAAATATATAAGCCAGGCTGGTTGCTCCTCTTCGAACCGTGCGCAGTCGAAAAGGGCTTAATTCACTTAAGTTTTATCGCCTAGTGCCTCTGCCGAAGCCGCTCTCCTTTAGTTTAAAATCTGGGACAAACGAGAGTTCAATCTCACGCCGGAAGTACGTCACCAAACAGCACCGAGCTAGGTAGGAACTCTCCCTTCAGGGCGCGAGATCCTCCCACTCTCGCGAGAATCCGTCCCTCCGCCGCCATGGCCACTAAGGGCACCGTTGCCGGGTGAAGAAGCGAAAGCTTTTTGAAGCGCCATTTGCCTTGCGGGCACAGGAAGGCGTTGGGCCGGAGGCGGTAAGCCGGGGGCGACGCCGCGGCTTCCCGCTTTGTGTGAGGGGGGTTACAACCCGCGGGGAAAAGAAAGTCGGCGGATCCCGAGGCGAGCTGTTCTGTGTCACGGAGGAGCGGCGCCAGAAAGTACGGGCCGCGCGAAGGAACATTGGCGAGGGGGGCGGGGCTTGGCTCCTCCGTTCCCCTCAGGCCCGGGGCGTGGTTCCAGGAAGGGGGCGTGGCCGCTCCGCAGCCGTGCCCCTCCTCCCCTGTTTCTGGGCGTGGCTTAAGCAGCTGCTCTTGCATTTCCCGTATTTTCGCATTTAGCCCCTTGGAGTTGCCTTCTCCCCTCTCCCCATGAGCAGCGCCGTTGCTTGGGCTTCTGACACCCCCCTGGGCACTCTCTTCTGCCCCGACCCGGGCCCTCTCGCCAGCCTCCTTCCGCTGGTATGACAGGCAGAAATCCAGCTGCACCTGTTGAGTGCCTGCCTCGATCCCTGCTCTCAGAGTGACTTTTGCAGCGCATTTCCTTGGGAATACATTCAGCTGGATGCCATGGGGCTTCCTGGCAGGTAAAGGAAGGCGGGGGGAGGCTGTAATTTAATTTTGGGGGAGAAGAGGGGGATCTCTTCCAAGAAAAGCCGCCTGAAGTCCCGTAAAAGTGAGATGGAGGCTCTATAAATCGAATAAAATAATTAAATAGGAGAGCTTTTAGTCCTGCCTGGTGTGGGAGGAGGAGAGCCGTGTTAGTCTATGGCAGCAAAAATCAGGGGGGGTCCTGTAGCTCCTTTTCCAACTCACAATAATAATTTATGAAATTTATATGCTGCCCAACTCGCAGTGACTCTGGGTGGTAATAAAGCAAATTTTATTAAAGGCAGAAGCGTTTTTAACATGTCGTTAATCGCCAAGGTCCAGCCAATGTCATTGCTGCAATTGAGTTTGCTCCCGTTGGGGGGAGACGGGCGGCATACAAATTTAATAATAAATAAATAAAAATAAAAATTTTATTGCTTTTGCATCTCCCTTAAAGCCACAGTGACAGTTACTCCTTGCATTTCCAGCTGAGCTCAATCTTTGCTCCTCTTTTGGCGTATAAATATAAACAGCAGGAGGTTCAAGAAGGAAGCCTTGGTTAAGGAATCGCTGCTGAGAGTTTAGAAATCTAATTAATGGAGGTGCTGAAAGGGGTATTTCTCTTGGAGGTGGGGGCGAGAGGATGCCGCGATGAGCTTTGATTCGGGAAAGCTTCTGAGCTGTTAAAATATTTGTTTTTAAGTCCCCACAATCCTGTGCTTTTACTGTGTGTATCTGAAAGGAAGATAGTTTTATTTTCCCCAAAATAACCTCCCTTGAAAATGGTGAAGAATTTCAGATTCACCAAGAACCCCTTTACAGAAGCAGCTTGGTTTGTTTTTTCTTTTTCTATATCCATTCTTTGAGGAGAGAAAATCATCTGAACGTCGAAGGGAATTATCTTCCATTTGGATAAATGCAGTACTTGGGAAAGTCTTGCTTTTTTATTTTATTGTTTTTTAAATGTAACAACAATACAAACATGAAAGCTACACCATTAACAATTGATACATTAAAGTAACTGGGGGTTTCAAATATTTGTGGGCTGTTAATCTTTTTGAAAGCTTTAGCTTTTTATTACATGCATATACATACCATTTTCCCCCCATCTCTTTCCTACTCCTTTTTCCAGAAACGCATTTGTATATAAAAATAATAATGCAAAGGCAGTTACCAGTATATGCATATATTCTTGTGGGAGGTGTCATTTCTCACGTCTGATAATAATGGGCTTTCAGATTATTAACCGTCCCATCTTAAAACAAAACCCCACAAACTGAAACATGTGTGCAAGGGGAAAGATTTCATGACTCTTTTTCTCTATTTGGGGAGGTATTTCTTTTATGTGGGGGAGCCAGGGAGTTCCTCCCCACCAAAAAAATACACCCCCAAGTGGTGTAGTCTTTTCAGAGAGTGAGTGAGAGATCAGCTAGGATCTATAACAAATTTGGACTTCATCCATTTTATATGTTGTAAGTTATCACTGCATAGGTGATTGAAACAAGACATCTCTGGTGATTCTCAGAGCGAAGCCGGTTTACAAAGAGATATGGATGGTCTAACAGGTGGCTGGTGCCTCAAGGCAGCTTTTACAGTAGCCATTCCATGAAAACGTCACCTGTTGAACTTCCGGCTGTCAGATCACTGTTCAAGATGCATAGCATGAAGCCAGGGAGTTCATTTTTAGTGCAGGAGGGGGATGTAGGAGGACGATCTGGCTCAAAGCTGTCTGTGAACCAAGTCATGGTGACCTGTTGCAAAAAACGATCAATTGCGTGCCATCAAGTCAGTGTTGTCTCTTAGCGATCTCATAAATAGATTTTCTCCATGACGATCTGCCCCTAATCGAACTTTAGGGGTTAATAACTAAGCAGTGAGGCCAGGTAAGGGGTTTTTTTTTCTGGATGTGCCCCACCTCCCATATTACTTTGTTGATAAACAATGGCTGTCTCTAAATGTTGGGTTATGTGCTTTTAATGGTATGTAGGTTTGGTGGAGGAAGAAGGACTATGTTTGGCCTAAGGACTGGAGGAGGAGGAGAATTTAATGAGAGAATGCATGCTTAGCATTCCCAAGAGGACTACCCAATCTAAATTATAATTCTTTATTTCTGTTCAGGATCACCCAGTCTTCGCCCATGATTACCTTCCAGAATTTTTGTCCTATACATCACCTTCCCTGATCATGGAGATTTGTGTCCTTGGTTACAGACAGCTGGTGTCCAAGATGATGTTGTTCTTTTTGCAGGGTGGGGTTGCCAACTGGGCAGAACCTGCTGGGCAGGCCGAGCTGCTGATGAATTTGGCTTGGATGTAACCCCGATCTTCCTGCTGCTCAGGTTCCGATCCTGCCTCAGCCGCCTTTTCTGCTGAACTGGGGTAAATGGAAACAGGGAGCAAGATGCTGCTTTTCTTTCGGAGAAGGAAGGCTAGCAGCGAAGCCCGTAAACGTCTCGAATACCAAATGTGTCTGGTGAGTGATGGGGAGACAACCTGGTCCTGCCCATCTGACCCCAACTCTCCTATCAGGGTTGTAAGATCTGCAGGAGAGGCCCTTTAGAAGAAGCCTCCCAGAGGCTTCCTGATGAACCATACTACAAGAGATCTTCTCTTGCCTCTGTCCCAGGAGGGAGGATCCAGCCCTGGGGAGCCACAGTGGGCCACTGCTCTCTAAGTTACATTTCCCCAGTCTAGCGTTTTCAAGATGTCTTCATCTCCCATCATTCCAAGCCTTTGGCCGTGCTAGAAGTTGATAGTCCGCAACTTAAAAGACACCATCTTTTGGAAAAGGATCTGCTAACTAAGTAGGGTTTGTTCGCTAGAGGTCACGAGGGAAAAACTTAACAGTGCATTTGGGAAATTAAATAGGAGTCACCATATTGCTCAATTCCACTGGCTTTTACTTTGGTTGGCAGTAGAAGCTGAGCCCAAAACTAATTTGGGGGGGGCGAAATGATCTCCCTCATTTGGCAGCCGTAGCTCATCTGTCCATCTTTCAACAGGCGAAGGAAGCTGGAGCAGACGATATCCTTGACATCTCCAAGTGTGAACTTTCCGAGGTACATTCTCTCCGTTCTGGTTCCTGGTTGGTGAGTTGCGAATGATAGCAGCCACTAAGGTTGGAGCTTTGTAATTATACTCTAGAGCTATTAATGGTGGTCTTTTTCAGGATATACCTACCTTCAATTGGGCACTGTTTTAGATATCTGCAGGCTGTAACATGACCATCTTAGGTTAGAGCGAGGTTTTGCCAGGATGTGGCCATTTCAAGGCCATGTTGGGAGTTCCCTTTGAGTTTAATCCGGTTTAACGTAGTGTGCATCTTCTGAAGTGATTGTGACAGTCTGTTTTGCATTCAAAATGTGAAAACAGCAATTACCAGTATACTGAAGAACCTGGGGGCTTGCATCACTGCTGACTCTGAGACAAGAAGAATAAACCAGCAGTTTTAAGTGAAGGATCCTTGATGCAGAACTGCAGATTTGAACATAGCAAAATACACACATGATACCACTGAAACCTGGTAAAATCTATTTTAAACCAGGCCTGGATCTTCTCATACTTGTTGTCTGAGAACAAGAACCCAAACATTTATTTGAATGCTTCCTAATTGTTCTGATTCCTTTTATCTCACCAGAAGTTGCCTTTTTCTTTTTAGCTTCCCTATGGAGCCTTTGCAACCTGCAAAGTGTTGCAGAAGAAGGTAAGTAACACGTTGGATGGAACTTTAGCGCAAGATCCGAGAAGCAGTGCCTATCTACATATCTAATAAGCCATTTTGAATGTCAGAAAAGCTGAGGATTTTTGCTCCAAAGAAGATAGTCCGGTTTTGGATATCAAGGGGAATTTCACTCTTAGATGGGGGCAATAGAAGGTTCCCTTCAGGACCAGAAATGTATTCCTCAAATTCTCAACATTGTGAGAATGGGTTTTGTTCAATATTTTGTCTGCTCTTCCTGCCCCTTGCATTTAGATTCAGATTTCTCTTCCTATTTGTACTCTCGGAGAACCCAGTTTAACTTCTGTCTCATCTCTGTGTCAGCAAATAGTGCAGAACACAATTTAACTCCGTGAGTTTCCATGGGAAACAGCTTAAACCTAAATAATATTTCACGGGCAAAAACTATTTCTTAATGCGTAGAGGGAACAGGGAATGGCCTTGGAGGGCAAGAGGAAGAGCCACTAACAAGTGAATGGTCAGATAAGAGGGGCTTGAGCCCAAGCCAAAAAAATAACTAGAGAAAACGTTTCAGACAAGCCCCTCCCTAGTTCACAAGAGGTTAAATTGAAGGAGGGGGAAGCACATTTAAACTTGTAAGATTCTGCTACTATAGTAGTTACAATAAAAGTAGCCCTGATCTATATGGCATTGGTTTCTAGGGCTGACCTAGAAGTGTGCGCGCATGTGCCTTTGAGCCAGTCTTGACTCCTGTTAAGCCATATTCCGTGGTTTATGAACCACAACAGTTGGGTTCGCTCACTATGTAAATCCCTAAAACGTGGCTTACAGATCACAGCAGGGTTCATTCAACCCTGTAGCCTAAACGTATACGATGGCTTAACCCAGTGTGTGAACCAGATCGCAGCAGGGAGCCTCTGACCCAAAATGTCATTGTCCTGTTGTAATACCTTCTCTGATGTTTCTCTTTCAGGTGCTGATTGCTCACACAAACTTTTTGACTTCTCTCATCCCCAAATCCTGCAGTCTGTCTAATCTTGTAACAGTAAAGGTGATTCACAGTTCTTTTCGCCAATTGCTGTGGAGGCCTGTAGCTTCAGAATCAAAAGAAAAAGCAATGAAACACAGTTTAGATCAACCTTGGATTGTCCAGTTACAACAGGGCTACAGCTGTTAGAATTTCCAACCTATCAGTGGAATTTTTCCCCTTTAAAACGCCCAGCTTAAGGGAATCTACGTCTCTTCTTCTGTCGCTGCGCACCACACATGGCTTTCCTGTGTGATCAGAACCTTATCATGGTTCAATGATATGTTTTTCCTGGTTGATTAAAAAAAAATCAAGGGAGAGCACAGCGCCCTAAGGTGGGTTAATGACATGACCCATCTGATGAGTTTATGGCTCTATCTTGTACAGCCCCAGAAATGGGTTGATTCGATGGGTTGATCTCGCCCTAACATTTTGCCAAGATCTGGCTGATTTTTACTGGAAGCAGTAGATGTTATGAGCATTTAGATGAAATTGTCTCAATCTCTCTGATTATTAGATTGATTTATATCCCACCCTTCTCCCAAGATTCCCCATGGCTGACAAATGTAAAATACAGTAAAATCCCACAAAGCAGTGGAATCGGTAGTCATGTTGATAAGAATAACAGTGAAGTCCAATAGAAAGCAAAGCGTCCATGCTTTCAGGCTGGTGCAGCAAGATAAAATCCCCATCCAAAATGGCAGCTCGGTGTCCCCACTAACATTCAAAAAATTGCCCGAAGATTATTTTAACCACTTTTCAGGAGGTAGTCTGGAACTGCTGTCTATAAGCAGGGTGGGCTTCTTCCATTCCTGGCCTCTGGTCTACAACCACGTCACCCTTTGTTGTTCACCATGGAGGTTGGGCAGAAGATAGTCAGAGTTGAACAACCTTTTAAGGACCATCTACCACCCAGGCCTGAAGTTGAAGGTCAACAGGGAGTAGATTATCATGGATTTCTCTTTTCTTCCCTTCCAGGTTTTAGATCTACATGACAACCAGCTGACCTCTCTCCCCGCTGATATTGGGCAATTGGTTTCTCTTCAGGTAAAGAGGTGCTGGATCCTCAGGAACCATTCCAGAAATGTTTGCTCTTGGCAGTTATGCTTCAAGACCAACATGGTCCTTTCTCTCCCTTTCTGGATGGTTTCACATGTACCACAAAGTCATTGACTCGGGTTTACAGAACCCTAGTGGTTGACTTGGCACATCACACTAAGCCATGATGGCGTTTGTCTGGTTCTGATTTATTTTTTATTACGTTTTCGTTAAACGTTTTTGAGAAAGGAAGAAGAAAAAAGAAAAACAAGAAAAGATCCAAGTGGCCTTCTCAAAAAAGAAAAAACACAAAGTGAATTAAAAGAGAATTTATGAGCATCATAGAATTAAACAGGATTAAATGCATTAATTAAGAATACTCAGTATTTCATTAGTTTCACGTAAGTTTTAAAAACTGTATCATTATTAAAATTGAAGTAATACATAAATATTAACAGCAATAATTGGCACAGTATAAAGTAAGATCAAGAATTGCAGTAATTTCCCTCTGAACAGCAGATCTATCCTTATTAACAGACCACTGAAGGGTAGAATATTAGGGGTCTGTTGAGCAAGCCCAAATTTTGGATGTGGAACAAGCCCATATAGGGAACTGTAGTCCAAAAATGGTTTCCAAGCTGAATTGTATTCTCTGTCAGATTTACTTTGGAAATAGAAAGTTATTTTGGACATCAAGGCATGCCCCCAAAACTTAACTAGCCATTTGTCTGCAGAAGGAATTTTACATACTTTCTCTGGTTCTGATTTACCGTATTGGGCAAACCCAGCCATTGTGGCTTGTAAAGCACAGTCAGTGGCTTTGTCCCTGTGTAAACCCTGCTCTGAAATAATGGGAGGGGGAAGGAATCTGGTTATTTGCAGAGGTTTCAGACACTTTTTTTGCCTCTAAAAATCTCCGAAAATTGGGGGGAAGGGGAACACCCTAATTTTTAACAGGGATTTTAAGAGATGCAAGGTTTAATGTGTACATTTTGTTCCTTAAAGTTGTGTCTGTTCTTTGTAGGTTTTGAATGTAGAAAAGAATCTTTTGAAAGCCCTTCCAGACTCAACTGGGGATCTTGCTCAGCTTCAGACACTGAATTTGAAAGGTATGGTGAAATAGTATCTGCACGCATCTGGAAAAACAGTTCTGATTTTTAACCTATGCCTTTTGGCCATGCTTTGAGGGAGAAAAAGGTGCAGGAAGTGAGCAATGGATTAAATTTGCTGATAGTGTCTCGATTTTCCAATTTGAAATTTTAGAAAAGGATGTGGCAACTCACAGCAAAGGGATGTAATCAGTGGGTTTAGTCAACCATAATTTAGTGTTGCAAGAATAAAATTGGCTTTGGAGACACGATAAGGAGTTTTCAAAATGGATTACTGTTGGTTGCTTGAAACCAGACAAACTACAGTTGCTCTGCCCTGGTACAGCGGGTAAAAAATAGTATCAAAGCCATACATTTTGTGACTGCTTCCATTAGCCATAACGAAGTCCAGCTTGCACATTAGGGATCAAGCAGCACAAAGTCCAGTTAATCTAAAACAAAAGATCGAAGGAAGTGCTGAAGGCCTCCAGAGCGCAGCTCCGTATAACCGAGCCACCGTATATGTCACATCAAAAGCATCAACAGCCCTGCTGATTACGAGAAAATAAAATCAAAATACGTAGAGGCAATTCCTTTCTTAGATCCACTGAATGCGTACGGTAGCAAGTGTCTGAGAGGAGAAGAGAGGGGCCCTTCTGGCCTCTTCTTAAAAAGAACAGTGATGGGGAACCCACACCCTCAATCGATAGACTGTCCCCCCACTGCGTCGATCTCTCCTTTCAATGCTGCATGTTCGGGGTTCACCTGTGGCTCTATCAAGATTCAAGACTTGCTCCCCAAGACTGTACAAAGGCTTTTACCTCCCCTTTCCTGTTCTCCCCTGCAGGTAATGAGCTCAAGAAATTGCCCTCCACCGTGGGGGGCCTGCGAAGTTTGCGAACTTTGGACATCAGTGAAAATTCGGTGCAGGAGTTGCCACAGGCCCTGGCTCACATCCGAACCCTGGAGGTAGCGTTAGAAATACGGCGCTTGGCTTTCAGTCGGGGCATCGCTTGGGCAGGATTTACCTGCTCTTTTTCTGCTTGGGCCAAGTTTTGCTTTTAGGAGGAAGCTAAGTTGTCTGGGTGCCTCTCGGTGGGCAGGACTGCACATCACACAATCTGTAACACGGCTTGTTAATTTTTGGCTTGCTGTGTTGTCCAGATCAACTCAGGCAATCAACCGTGATTTATTCTTCATTCTTTATTGTAACCATTGTGCAAAGTTTCATACATGAGATATATAGAAGTTTCATGTACAGACATGCACACACACACACATGTACATATACATTAGATTTTTATCCTGCCTTTTTTTAATATTTGGTCAACTCAAGGCGATGAATATACCTAATATTCTTGCCTCCTATTTTCTCCACAACAACAACACCCCTGTGATGTAGGTTGGGCTGAGAGAAAGTGACTGGCCCAAAGTCACCCAGCCAGCTTTCACGGCTAAGGAGGCCTAGAATATATATAATGTTGTTACTGTCCTGATTTTTTTTCCTTCTTTTTCCCCCCTTCCTTCTTTTTTGCTATTCTTTTTGGTCTCTTCTGTTTTATTAAATAAAAAGGCTCATCCTAAAAAAACATCTTGGCCTATTCTTAGGCAACCCCCCTTAATTTGAAAACACGGTTTGGTGATTCACCCATCCTGACTTGTTTCAACCAGAGTTTTGTCTGCGTGATCCAAATCTTGGCTTATTCCTGGCTTGTTTTTGTACCCTTCCCCAATTTTGGCAACTGGCCAAAGAAAAGGTGGGAGAATAAACCAGGAATTTAAAGTAAAAAGGACTCTAGGGTTGCTTGGTTTCCCTGCAAGATCGAACCGCTGTCAGTTGTGTTGGCAAGATGCAGTCGTAGCTTCGTGTTGAGTAAAGGCAGCTCTTGTATGTGTGTCCCTGTCTTGCAGGCTCTGTCCCTGGATGCTTCAGCCATGATTTACCCACCCAATGAGATCTGCAGCGCTGGCACGGAGGCCATTCAGAGGTTTCTCTGTGAAAGTGAGCAAAGGGGAAAATCTCAGGCCGTGCAAGGGGCTGGTGCATAAGAACCCTGCTGGGTTATGCTTTGGGCCCACTGAATTCAGCCTCGTGTCCCATAGCGGCCAAAGAGACGATGCCTTTGGAGAATCCATGAGCCCCGTTCCCCATTCCCATTCCTAAGAACCAGCATTTTAGGGTAAGGAGGTAGCTGACAGCTCTCAATAGCGGCAGCAGCCACAGCCGTGGTCTTCCACGAGCCTCTCCGGTTCTCCTTCCTTTACAAAAATGCCTGGAGCAAACGCCCCAGTTGCAGCAATCACTGCGCATCAATCATTGCCTTCCATCACCTGCTCCTGATAACGAGAACTAACTTGGCGGCATCTTAGATCTGCTTGGTGTCACCTATCGCGCAGACCCAGGTGACACGCGATAGATACTGTGATCTCCTGGTTTCCTTCCAGAATTGGGAATAGAATACAACCCCCCCTCCCAGTATTTACTCCCTGTGTTGGAAAGCGACGGAGGGGAGATATTGGCGGACGGGATCCGGAGGACGGCCGGCAGATACACAGAAGATGAGGCCGAGTGGCAGGTGAGCGCTAGCTCCTCCCAAATACACAGGGACCTCTTTTTAGGAGATTTTTCAAAACTTCCAGAGCCAATTTTGTGGGCAGGCCAACCAGGGTCTTTCCCTGCAGTGTTTATATAGAGCTTCCACTTTCGGGGGAAATCTGCCCCGGAAAAATCAGTTGCTAGACGGAGCCACAAAGGGAAGCGACCATTTCAGGCCTGGGCAAACAGCCAGGTCTTCACGGCTCTTCTAAAGAACAGCAATCGCATCATGTTTGCGTTCGGGTTACTGGTTAAAATCGGTTTGGGTGACTTCTCCTTTTACTTTGTTTGCAGAACAAATTTCTAGACTATGAGAAGCGAAAGGTAAGGATGCCTCTTATGTCTCTCCCTGTTCCTCGTTGTGGGACTTGCCAACCTGTTGCACTAATCTGCAGATGGGCGGTGATAGAGGAATAAGAACAACAGTAGGGAATGACCTTGATTTGGTTCCATGACCTAAAACGGCAGCGTTCTTTGCTTTCATTTTTGCTATGAGTTTAACCTTCCTTTCTTCAGCCAGAAAGTGGGGTAAGTAAGATGAGTGACAGACAAGACTCTCCTCATCCAAAGATTTGGACTGATTGAAGCCCTTTGGCCTGCAATGAGGTCTTGAGTGTGCAAGACCTCCTCCATTCAAAAAATACAGCTCACACTTTAATACACTAAAGATTGATCTGTCTGCCTATATCCTCCCTCCCTCCCTCCCTCCCTTCTCTTGAATGGGTAGTTTTCTCTGTGCAGCGGGAAGGTGATTCCATTTTTATTCTGCTTAGAATCACTTTCTGGCTTGCAAGACCCTGGGTCAAAGTATGCACACAGACCACAGTGTCTCTTCCAACTGTTGTTTGAGAGCGCAAGGCCCTGTGCCGAATAGAGCAAGGTCAGGGGTATGTGTTGACTTTGCTGGCTTTGCTGGCCTGGCAGGAGCAGAAGATGCAAGAGAAGCTGGAATTTGAGCGTTGGCTGGACCTGGAACAGAGAGAACAAGTCCACCTGATGCATCAGAGCCACGTCCAGAAAGGAGAATTTCTCCAAAGCATGAAAGAGGTAAGACATCTGGGTCTCCAGTGTTTCCCCCATTCCTACCAGCTGCCTTTAGACACCACGCTTTGCCAGATCAATGGAAATCTAGCAGCTGAATTCAGAGGACATACTAGATTTGATTGTGAGGAAGCAGAGAAGAAGTGGGAGGAATTCTAGACAGAAATAATCCACAGATGAGAGAGGAGTTAGCAATTTATCTCATAAACGTTAGTTCAGTCCATCTTGCAGAAAGCCTGGATGAAGAGATTCCAAATGTTCAAAGATTCTCTGCCTTAATGAACTCACTAATAAATTAGGGTCAGAAGTTTGTATCATGGCTTCCAAGACTCTGAACTTCTTTGTGTTAAAACTCCTGGTGTGTGATTCTTGTCTTCTTGATCGTGTCTGACATTAGAGGATTCAACACTGATTGGGGTGGACCTTGCCCGGTTCTTTTTCTTTGCATGTGGCTTAAGCGTTGGGCATCAGGCTCCTCCAGAGTTGTGTGCAAATGCATCAAAGGGGTTAATTCAGTGACAGGTTAAGGGTGTTGTCTGAATGCAGCCTGTGTCAGTTTACGATCGTACGCTGCATAGGGTCAGGGAGGTGTAAGATAACTTTTATAAACACCGGTGGATAAAATTGGAGAATGGGCAACCATTTGGGGTCTAAGAACTACTTTCAATGTTTGAGGGGTCCCTGGGAGCAATGGAGGCAGGGCAGTGATGCCTAGAGATGTCACATCGCATAGGTAGATGTGGGATTTGAATCCTCTGTGAATACCAGTCTATCTGTTCTGTGGCCAGAGGCTCTGGGTAGGATGGCTGGCAAGATCTCATTTCTATACACTTTGAAGGAAGAGTTTTTAAATTGTTTCTGGAGCACAAGTTTGCTTGGGTGGCCTGTGTGTGTGTATAGAGCGGGCTGTTGGACATGCTCAATTTTGTCTTCAATATAATCCATCAGAAATGCTCTAGCGCTCAGCAGGAAGTGGGGCAGGAGGCCCTCCCCCTCTATCATTCTGTGACTCCATTTCTTACCTTTCTAAAACCTGCTGCTTAATCCAGCTGTCCAAGATAGCTCTTCTCTTGCATGCATTTTTTTCAAGCTAGGCAAATTTACCCTTTTCCAACGGGTTGCCGAGTTTGGGAGGAGAAAAGCTCTCCCACCACAAAGGTACCCCGTTTCCCTCTGATTTCAGGAGCAGATGAAACTGGAGGAGGGCCTGACCCGCCATCAGCAACGTCTGGGGGCAGAGCGCCTGAAGCTGCTGGAGCAGCTGAAGCAGATGGAGCAGGGGGTGGCCGGTAGGATCCAAAAACTGCTGGAAGATAATCAAAGGTGAGAGGCCCAGTGAGCAGAACAGGGCCATTTTTGCTTGGTCTGGGAATCAGCTGGTGTGTGAAAACTGTAGAACCAATTCTAGGCCCCTGGCTGCTGCAGTGGGAGGGAGGTGGCACATCCGAGGTCCAGACCTACTCCACGAAAGGTCTCAGAGGAGCCGATGAGCATAAGTGCTGGATGGGGCATCAGATCACCTCTGTTGTGGATCGTTCCTCCCACGGTCACCTGCATAGCTGACCCTCCTTATCTCCCTGCAGAATCGGCCCAAGCCCATCATTTTTAAAAAGCAACCGGTAGCTATCAAAAACAGTTAAAGCTGGAGAGATGTTTGCTAGGTCTGCTCTGTAGCAATTGTGCGGGTGCATTGGCAGAGGCGAGAAGAGGAGAATAGACTTTTGCATGGGGGAAAAGGAGCTTTCAAGGGTTTGGTGCAGTGGTGCCAGAATGTTTTCTGCATTTGATTGTATATTTTTTGTTAGTTTGTTCATTTGATTAAATCTTTCTAGGCAGAAACAGAGCTCCGAGATCTTGAAATCCCTAGAGAACGATCGGTGAGCTTCTTGCTTTTCTCGGTTCATTGGAGATGAAGGCTGAGGGCTTTTTAGGGCACAACCACACAGCTCAAACATCCAGATCCATTTGGTGACATGTTTTGTTGTCCTTGAAGGCCCAGCATCAAAGATTTGCTTCTGTAGATGGGCCGAGGTCTGTCTCTGCGGAAAGGTAAACCAGCCCCATGTTCCTTTGAAACCTTCTGGAGCACCAAGCCATGAAGGACCCATTCAGACATTCACAGGGGCTGTGGGAAACAAGCATCAGAGCTGAGTCTCGCACCCTCTAAAGCCATGGTTTGCTAACCTTGCTTGGTTGAATATTTTCATATATCCTGCTACGGCACGCTTTGTTTAGTCTTGGTGTGTTGAATTGGCCGCTGTTAGCTGTTTTCTCACATCCTGCTGAACCAGAAACCCTGGTTCACAAACCACAATAGCTGGTTCCAGATGAAACAAACTGGGGTGGATGAAAAGTGACCTGGGATCCCTGAACCCAGCCTACAAGCTAGGAAGCAAGACAACCTTTTCCTGTCCAGGCAAAGCTCTTGTGGCTGAACAGGAAACTCAAAACCCTTTGGTGGGCAATGCTTTTCTCAGGAGCCACCCAAAACGTTGCAGAAAAAGTCCTCCGAAGCTTTTCCTCGGGCGAGGAGACACCCAAACCAGCCACACAGGGAGGAATCTGAAAATTAGGCCAAGAATTGTAGCCCAGCTGAATCTCGCAGTGTGGCGAGTGAGAAAGACGGGGACGATTGAGCTGCTGAGAAGAGTCGAGGCAAAACTTCAGGCCAGCTAAGCCTCTCGCATTGCTCCTAGGATCCGGATGGAGCAGTTGATGGCCATTACTCAAGAAGAGACGGAGCAGCTGCGCCAGAGGGAAGTGGCCGGTCAGTATGGCGGTTGGTGGGGGTCAGAGGCGGGGTGGGCTGCTGTCTGATCTCCAGCTTGCCCTGTCATCCTCTTGGAGGGTTGAGGCATTCACCCCACGCCAGGGAATCCAAGCGGGAGGTCTGCGTCCGGCTTCATTTATTTTCTGTTTATTCAGTTTGTTTATTCAATTTGTATAGCCTCTGTGCGGCTCATCACAATTAAAAACAAGAACGACGAAAAATGTCAACAGAAGCTACAACCATACTAAAACCACTGTTCAAAACTCTTGAGTTCTTATGGTAGCGGAGGCATTGATCATACTTACCTGCTGATTGTGATTATGCCTTGTGTTTAACTGTAATCGCAATCAGCAGGTAAGTGTAATCAGTACATTCGATTCAGTATAATCATTGAAGTCTCTTCTTCCTGGGTCCCTTCAAATTACATTCTTTAGTAGACAGGACCCTTAACATGCCTCTCCTGCCGGATCGGATGGGACGGGTAGATTTATAGCCGATGCCTCCTGCCATTCATTTCAAGCAGTCTTTCCCAGTCTCAAATTCCCAGAATTTCTAGCCAGCTCAGTCAACAGCCAAAAACATTGCAGCCCTCAGGTCCACCACAGCCCATCACACCCACAAAAAGTAGCTCTTCTTCTGTTATTATTGCTGTCAGGGCATTATTATCATCGTAACTGTCATGCCCTTTTTCTGTTACAATAATTTATTCTCTTGCTGCTGCCATACCTGTTATCATGGTATAACAACCAGTCTATTAACCTTTGCGCATTATGTTTTTCCTTCCACCCTGGCAACAAAGACCCTGCTACAGAAGTTCCTAGCCCTAAGAGACAAACCTTACCTTCCTTCTTCACCCCATCTCAAGGTGCTTGTTGACAGAGAAGCATTGCAATGGGATTAGGGCTGACCTGAAAGCCTCTTGATTGCTTTTTTCCTGGAAACTTTGCCCTCATTCTAACACGGGCTAGGGCATGGTTTGTTTTAACAGATGTGTGAAAGTGCTGGCAATAGAGCCCCAAAAGGTTCTTGACTCTGATTGCTCCCGTTTCTCTCTCCCAGCGGCCATGAAACAGATGTTGTCGGAGACCTACAAGAACAAGCTTCTTCAGGGAGCCTATGAATCACGCCGGCAGGACCTCGTCAACCAGACTTGCTCCAGGTACTGAAGAGGGCGTGAACTCTGGGGATATTATTTTCATGGATATGCCTGCTCATTAAAGGGTGCGGGGGGAACAATTGTAGGCAACCATCTCCATTTATCTTTGCAACCACGTGGCAAGTTAGGCTAGGCAGAAGGAGAATGGTTGGTCCAACCTTGGTTAGCATCAGGGCTGAGAGGCAATTTGAACCTGATTCCTTCTAATTTTAATTTGATTCTCAGTCACAGGAATGGGGAAGCCTCCCCCGTTAAGTCCAACAATGGCTGGTTCTCCAGAACTTTGTGGGACTTGCTGGATGAATGGGTTGGGAGCTTCCAGAGAAAGAGAGGAAGGCTGAGTCCCTTCATAGAGGCCTGCTGCCACATCTGGCCAGCTGATGAAGTATCTCAGCAGTATGGATCCTACTCTTGGTGGGAGAACCCAACTTTATTGGGTTCATATGCCAGACCAGCCACAGGAAGAGAGCATTGCCTCCCTGGTCCACTGGAGTCCATTGGGTGTCTTCCTCTGACCTACTCTCCCCAATCTGGAAATCACTGGAATTCTTAAGCTGAGTGAAGCAAATAGTTAAACAATTTGAAGGAGCCATAATTGGTAGCATTGGTGTACGTTAACCCATAAATCCAGGTTTATAGACCACACTAGCTGGGCTTCCCTAAGACTTGAGGCTCAAAGCAAGGTCACACAGTGTCTTAGTGCAGTGGGATCCTAAGTCCCCAGATCGGTGCACTGTGACATCTCATGTGCATTTCCCCAATGTGCATTTCTCACTTGAGAGCCAGTTGGAGTCATCCAAGAACGCTTCTCTTGCAGCCTCGCCAAGATGGATGAGAAGTTCCAGCAGATCCTGGCATGGCAGCAGCTGGATCAGAACAAAGCTATCAGCCAGATCCTGCAGGAGGTATTATTAACTGCAAGCAGAGTGGGATAGTGATGGCAGGGTATTCAGTCATGGGAGAGGAAAGAGCTGAGCGGGTCCTTGGCCAGGAGAACGAACAAATATTGGAAGCCGCCTTATTCATTGACCAAATGTTGGTTTCTCTAGATCTGGTTCACCTACCTAAGAGATAGGCAGACAGATGCTCTTGAGATGCGTTGGACTACAATTCCTATTGGCACGGCCAACGGTCAGAGATGATAGGGACTGTAGTCAAAGGCTGGAAAGCTAGTAGACTTCTGTAGTGGTCTACAGCGCCCATCATGGGCACGCTGTCAGTTGCTTTTCAGATCTCAGCCATGCTCCCTTCACACATTAAGTGACCTTAACTGGAATTTCAGTTTCTCAATTCAAGCTACACACTAAGAGCCAGAACTAAACAAATTCGGTTGAGGTTGTGCTGTCATGTAAACACAGCTTTGAATCAAGCCTCAAACATAGGGAAATCCCATAAGATTCTGTTAGATCCACTTAAAAAATATGGTTTAGAAATGTCTTTGCAAATGCTCCCAAGGCAAAAGCTGAACACGATGCTCCTTCCCTGTTGTTTGTCTCCAGAAAGACTTGAAAACAATTTCTTTCTGGCCAAAGAAGGCAAAACATCACATTTTGCCTCCCAGGGCCTCGTTTTAATGCTTCCCACCTGGTTTGGCCTCTCTTGGAAAGTGGATCCCTGGACCTTGGTCCCATTCCACAAAGCCTTGGTTCTGCTCTTGTGGTTTAACAACAGCAGTCCAGGCTTCTGGAGGGTGTCGTCACCTTAACAGCCTTTCTGGATGATCAGGTGGACTGAAGCCACTTGTGTTCTCTTTGCAGAAGTCTTTGCTTTGGGGTTGGTGTGGGAATATTCTGATATTGGGGCCCTGCATCTTTTTATCTCTGCAGTTGCAATACTTTAAACTTGGTAACACGAAACTATCTATCTTTATTTATTTCTCAAACTGGTATGGCTGCCCGTGTCACGAAATGTTAGTTTGGGCAGTATACAATAAAAAGAAACAAAAAAAATGACAGTATTAAAAAACATTCTACTATTAAAACGTTAATACTATGATTACAAGGCTAGGAGAGAGCATTAGATGTTACAAAGAAGCACTAGGTGTTCCAGATTGCTGGAAGATTGATAGCACAACAGGCGTATTATCCTTGTCCATTCACCAGCAAAACCACCATAGAAAAGCAGCTTTGGGGGATCAACCATAGCCTTTTCTCTTAATTGTGTCTTTGCATTTATTTTATTTCTATCTATCTATCTATCTATCTATCTATCTATCTATCTATCTATCTATCTATCATCTATCTATCTATCTATCTCTCTCTCTCTCTCTCTCTCTCTCTCTCTCTTTTTTATTAAAGGGGTTTTTTTTTAAAGATAACTATACAAACTAATATAAAGTAAGGAAAAGGAAAGGAAAAGAAATCAAAGAGAAAGCTAAAAGTGCAAGAAAGGGGAAAAAAGTAAAAGAAAAATAGAAAATAAAGAAAAAAGATATAAGGAAGTAGCTTCTGATCTTCTTTACAGCAGTTATAAGTACAATTATAAGTTTACCTCTTACTCTATGGTTACAATGTAACTCTTTTCTTTCTATAATAGTTTCTGCCTAATCATCAAAACCATAAATCCTAAGTTCATTTTTTTCCTGATTCATGCAAAAAGTCATCACCTTTGCATTTATTTTCAGTGTGGGAAAAATCTATTGGAATGGCACATAATTATAGTCTAAAGAAGATTTCAATCACCCGATTGTCACTGTGTTTACTGTTTTTTTTAGCTCTGTCCTTTGGGGGGTGTAGCTTGTACCCCAAATACTTCTGTGCAATTAATGGACTTTCCAGGAAGGGGTTATACTCTCCAGATTCAACAAAAAGTCAACAAGCAGACTCCAGGGAATATTTAGACTAACACTGGATTAAATAGACCAGTGACAAATTTGTCACAAGTAGGGAAGAAGGACCTGTAGCTTAGTAGGTAGATCTTTCTTGCTTGCAGGAGGTTCCATCCGTGGAATGTTTTGTTGAAAGAATGTTTTCAATTTCATGGTTGGGAAAGACTATTAGGAGTGAGAGAAGGGAGACTAGGAGGGAAGGCGATAATACTCAGGTAGTATGGTCTCAGGTAGTTTAAGGCAGCTTCAGATGTTCACAAGGACTTGATCCCCATCTTTTAGAGTGAGATGCAGAAGGCAGCCTTTGAAGCCCTTCAGGTGAAGCGAGACCTCATGCATTGCCAGATCAGAAACCAGGTGAGTGGAAAACTAAGGCTCAGGGGATATGCAAGGGATGGGGGAGGCAGCATAGCTCATACCTTCCTGACCAAGCAGACTTCCTTCTCAAATCTGGCCTGGGAACCAATTACTGTGAGAAGAGGAGAACTTTGTTGCTGTGACAAGTCATCTTTCTGTTCAGCTGGACCAATTTAGTATGCCTCCCCTCTGGGCATTTCCACCCTTCGACAGTCCATAAAAACATCAGCTCCATGATTCTGATTTCATTTGTCTGTTGTTGTTATTTTAAGTTTGTTTCTGTTGCTTGTCCAAGACCATTCTGGCCAACACTGATGCACACCGCTTATGAATGCAGAATCACTGCCGCAGGGAACGGTTGCCAGAGACCTCAGATGGTAGAGTTTGCGAGTTCTCCAACCCCGTCCCCTGACTCCACCTCTTATCCTTGTCTAGTGGGTTATTCAGGACTTTAGTTTTCTAACAGGTGGTGGTCAAGGGCATTCATGTACTCTCCTATACTTTGGTGGCTTCGCTGTGCTGTTACAAGCTCTGGATCATGCAGAACCCCATCCTGAGTCTTGGAAGGAAGAGCTCACACCTTTTAACTTCATGTCTTCCAAAAGCAAGCTGGATGTCCAGGGCTTGTAGTTTTCATTCACTGTCTCAGAAGCATTCCAGCTGCTTGAGACTTGCACATAGTCCTTCGCTGGTTATCCTCACTTCTAGGGTGACATACAAAGAGGGCATCTTTGATCTGCCATTATAGTCTGCGTAGGGCAAGAGGGCAACGTAGCTCAGGTTTCTCCTTGTCCCTGCTCTGAAGGTTAGGCACTGCATGAAGAGGGATTCCCTGTTCCCAAGACAAGGTTTTCCACTGAGTATCATCTACGGCTCCAGCTATATTTCCAAGGAGACAGTGCACCACAGGACATTTACCATTGCCGCCTTGTATGTATATCCAGCCCTCAATCGAATTGCAGTCTCTGCTAGATGGAAAAGAACTAGAAACTAGCACAGGCTGTCCTATAATTTAGATCTGTTCCCTAGAAAGGTATTTGCTCCAGGTATGATTCAACTATGTGTGTAGGTCGCCTTTGCCACAGCTGAGGTGCTGAGATATTGCTAGGTTGCAGGCCTCAGCTTACTCAGTGTGATTTGAGATAACAAAAGTTGCATTTGTGAGGTTGGAAACAGTTGGCATAGTTGATTGCAGGGCAGGTGCAGTCCCCTTCTGACCCAGAGACTGCTGTGAAGAACTCCGAGCAGTCACCCAAGACTGTTTGGGTGAATGAGAGTTCCACAGGGGTAGAGTGCCCCCCCCCAGCACTTTGATCAGGGCCAGAGCTGTAGCCTCCAAAAAGGCCGATGCGATTAGAAAAACCACAACCCCCTTCCCTTGTTTCATCTTCTCCCTAGATTAAGTTAATAGAGAGAGAGTTGCTGCAGCTCACCCAGTTGGAGTTAAAGAGGCAGCAGCTGGACACAGAGGCTCTGCAGGTATGTCGCCCTCCCCTTCAGTCCACCACCCTCTCCTGCTTGCCTCCCTCCTCTCCTGCTGTCTGACCTCTTATTTAGCAACTTGGAGAAGGCTTGGGGGGGAATCTTCCAGTTCTTCTAGTCCCCGTCTCCTTTTGCTCAATTGCCCCCTGCAAGTGCTGCCGCAACTCTGAGATCTGGAGCTCGGTTGGGGTAGAGGTTTTGGAGGGTTGAGCCCTGTGGGAAGCCCTCCCTTGTGGGCGTTGATGCTAGTTGGAAATCACAATAGGAACTGTACTCTGGGGGGTAGCAGGAAAGCGGTGGAAGGGAATTGAAGCTTACAAGCATTTCATATTTTTTGCCCCTATGGTTTCTTTCTGGCTAGTTTTGCTTTGATGTGCTTATTCCACTCCCCCTTTATCAAATTACAGGTAGTCCTTGTTTAGCGACTGCCTTGTTTAGCGACCATTCGGAGTTATGATGTCATGAAAATGTAACTTTGCCACCAATCCTTGCCTTTATGACCTTTGCAGGTCAGCGAAGCAAAAGAAAATCATAAGCACAGTCAAGGTTTCTCTTAGTGACTGCTTTGCTTAACAGTCGAGTTGCTTGTCCCAATTGTGGTCGCTAAACAAGGATTATCTGTACCACCATTCCAACAGGCACATTTCCATCTCTCCAGCTGCATGAATTCTGTATGGAAGGCAGAGCCAGGGCTGCGTGTCTTTTGGAAAATAACTTAAAAAACAAAAAACATTTCTAGCCCATCTGGATATAGAATGCATGCAGGTGAAATTCTCTCCAAATCTCTGAATCCAGTAAAGAGGGAGGAAATGGGGAAGGGGGTGCCACCTTTACCGAGCTAACAAAAAGATTTAGGCAAATTTTATTTTGTTTCTATAGGCTGCCAGTTGGATTTTGACACCTAGAATACATGCAGCCCAGGGCAAAACTCATTGATATCCCTATGAGGCAGTTGGGGCTCTCTTAATGTCTTGGGAATAGAATTATTTGTCCTGGATAGGAGTTGCTGCCTGTTCCCAAAATCAGAACTTAAAAACACACAGATCTCACACAACCGAGATTTTAGTAACGGTCTTTACCGAACGCACCCCACGAGCGTTCTGAGCCAAATTTGTGGATTCACGGTATTTTTGGTGCTTTCTTACTGGAACTTGGGGGATAAAATCCTTCAGAGTTTGACTTCCTCAATTTACAAAACAGCATCGTGATATATCTCAACAGAACTCAGGAAAGAGACCAACATTCCAGTTGCAAATCCACTTGAATCTTAGGTTTCCCCAAGTTTTTTAACATGCCAAAGCATTTGCTCCCAACCAAAGTCGGTTGGAGGATGGAAGGGCCACTTTATCACACTAAATAACCTGGTTCCAGCTACTTTGAGGCTTCAAGTCTCATCATCCTTGTCATGAGACTGATGGGAGGACGAGTCCCAGCACATCTGAAGGGCACCAGCATCATCTGCCCCCGTGGTTTCGCAATGATGGGTTTCATTTTAGGTATCTATGTATTAATGATAGGAAGAACCCAAGGGCATATTTTTATTTAAATTGGAATTTAAACAGAGTAGAGTCTGTTGGATGACAGAATCTTGGGACAATTGACAAGCAGAGAATTGCACTCCTCTCTCTCAGGGCCAGGAAGCGTTTTGAGTCTCGCTGACTTTGAACCTCAGATGGAAAGGGCAAAGTCTTTTGGGGATGGGGGAGAAAGGAGAGGTCAGGACTCTAACGTGGCCAGTGTCATTCTGGGCCTGCGAGGGAAGAAAATCCAAGCAGGTGAGACTCCTTCAAAGCAGACCCACCCACCTCACAATGCTGTGTTTCAGGAGGCAATTGTGGAGCAGCGACAGACTTTGAGTTATCTGCTGCAGCAGCTGCTGAAGGAGAAGAAACAACGAGAAGAGGAGCTGCAAACCATCTTGGTAAAGGGTCTGGGGGCAGCTTGCCTGCAGGGCCTGGCTGTGCAGGAAGCATGCAGCATCACCCCAGCAAAGGAACAGAAGACAATGCCTTATTGGAAGTTTAATCACCTTGGGGTGGCCCCATCTGTTATGGTTGAGAGCAGCTCTGAGGATTTCTGGCAGAGAGAGATCTTCCTGCTTCCTGCTAGTCCTAGAGCAGCTCCCCCCACTCTTTGATTACCCTATTTAAAAAAAGTGGGAAGGAGACCCTCAGTCATCTTTCTCTGAAGCCTAGAAGCATCCCTAAATGGGATTGTCTTCTCCTTACGGAAGGGCTCAGGTTCTTGGGCCAAAGAGAGTAGATAAAACCAAGATGTGTCCTTTCAGTGTTATTGACCAGACCTAGCCTGATTGTCCCTGCAGGCAACTGGGCTGGAGGAGAAGGCCTATAGCTGACTGGTAGGCCTTCCCATGCCACACGTCTCAGGTTTGACCCTGGGTGTCTGCCAGTGATGCTGGAGAACTTCAGCTGCTCAGGGTCAGCCGTACTAGGTTAGATGAATGAAAGACTGGCTTTGATTTAGGTCACTTTAGACCTCCTGGGATAGACTAGCGCAGCTTTCCCCATTTCTACCTCTGCCTGACTCTCATCCAGTAATGCTGGGCAGGTAACTCAGGATCCAGGGTTGCTTCTGGAGCCGACGAGCAGCTCTTGATGTTCTTTCTTTCTCTCTCCCCTTTTCAGAGAGAACTGGAGGCCAAGAGTGAGACCAAGCAGGAAAACTATTGGCTGATACAATACCAACGGCTGCTGGATCAGAAACCTCTCTCTCTCAGGTTGCAGGTGACTGTCCAACAGGCAGAGAAAATCCTTTTCTTTTTTCGGGTTCATCTGTCATTCCGTTCTCGTACAATCTCCCTGGCGTTCTGGTCACTGATATATGTTGTAGATTTGTTCAGCCTTGATTCCCCCAAAGGAAGCAGGCCAGTCGTTTGATTTCTTCCTTCTCTTTCTGTATTGGCAGGAAGAAGGTCTGGAGAGGCAGCTAGTAAAGCTGTTGACGGAGCTCTCGGCAGAGCAGTACGTACCAATCTTCGCCCATCATCGGATATCCCTTGAAACGCTCAGCTCCATGGTCCCGGGCGACCTAGCCAAGGTTAGAACCAAGGAGTGGGCTATTTTAACGCTCTAAATCCCCTCCTTCCTCATGCCTTTATCTTTTGAAAGGTGGGATAATTAGCAATACATGTGATTTAAAAAAAAAAAACTTTTAAAAGAATCATCCCAGCCACTCTTGCTCTCTTGCAGATAGGAATCACTGAATCCGGCTTGCAACGTGCCATCATCCGAAAAGCTCGGGAGATACAAGCAGTTGCAGAAACGATACCAGGTTATGTTCTTCTGATGTCACCTCTGCCCCCAGCTGGAGGCCCCAGATTTTGGGAAGTCTTAATATTCCAGGGGTTTTCTTTGCTTTGCCTATAGATGTTGGGCCTTTGCACCCTCCTCAATATACTGTTCTTCACTTGAATATAAGGAGACTCCAGTTTTCTTGGTTGAACAAAGGGCTGAATTCAGTTGGGAAGGTGGGAAGCCATCTCAGGAGAGAAGAACTTGGTTAGGACATGGAGAGGAGACTACCAAGCAATTTTAGGATTGTAGCCTAGATGGGGGGTTAAAAAAAATTCCAGAAAGCTATCAAGGATCTTCTTATATTGTTGTCAAGAAATGATATTGCGTTCCATGAGGGCATCGAGATTTGAGCTCAAAAAGAAAGAGTCAACTTTGCTTGGCATATGCAACCAGTAGCCAAGATTGCTGCAGCCTTTAGGATCTTCTCTATCTTCCCCCAACCCCACTGTCTAGCCCACTTTCTTCCTTGGGCTGCTCCTCACTCTCTGCCTTCCTTCCAACCGGTTGCAGAACTCTTGAAACCAGCAGAAGTGGTGGAACCTTCTGCTCCCGAGTCCAGGGAAGAGCCCGCCAGCCCTGAAGGCCCATCAGCTCCACCCCCAGAAGAGCAGCACTGCGAGTGTGTAGTCTGCATGGAGCTAGAGGTAGGTCTCCTGGGCTTCCTTGTGGCAGGGGTGATATACAACTGCATGCATTCTTGTTTCTAACCCATCTTAGCGCTCCTTGTTTTCTCTCTGCAACTGCCTTAAGAGACAGTGTGGGCTGAAAGAGAGCACCAGCCCCCCCAAATGTTCCCTGAATTTCCATAGATGATGAACTTAAAGCTTCCCCTCCCTATAGCTTAAGCATGGAACCACCTTGACTCTCTGTGTCTAATCAAGGAATTTGAAAGCATGGTGGGACCCCTCCCTTTCCAGAACAACAGAGGGCCATGCAAAGCCCTACTCTCTCTGGAATTCACATAATAGACTGTGATTTTCTTAACCATGTTTTAATAAGCCATAACTAGCTGCAGGCACTCCTTGAGCTCACCGGAAACCAAGCACTGCCTTTGATCTTGTCCACTGTGGTTTCTTCAACATCAAGTCACAGTTGCGGTTCACCATCCACCACCCAAACTGTGCTTTCAAGAGAGTTTGCCTTAAAACGAGCTCTGGTTTCTCGCTGCCCCTTTGGTTTGGATGAAACCCACCCATCCCTTTTGAGAGGGGAAGGCCTAAGGCCTGATCTCGGCTTCTGCTTTTTCTCCTTCCCAGGCCCAAGTGGTGTTTCTGAACTGCGGTCACGTCTGCTGTTGCCAGAGCTGCTCCGAGGCTCTGCACAGCTGCCCGCTGTGCCGGAAAGAGATTGTGCAACGGATCCGACTCTTCCACAGCAGCTAGCCTACTTGAGGATGGAAGGGAGCAGGTTTTTCCTCTGGGGCATCCCCTAGAGAAACTTGGAATTTCAACCCTCATCACATTGCTCTTTGCACGCCTATTTTTTTGTCATCACTGTGCGCTCGGAAAGAATATCTGTGGTTCCCGTACTCACCTCCAGCAATTAGCTGCAGCCAGCATGCACACTGGACAATGGGCAGGAAGCAAGTGTGCACCATTCTGTTGCACCAGTAGCATATTTGAGAGTTTCCTTTTGCTCCGTTGTCCACTGTGTAGGAAGAGTCTTATTTGTTCAAAACGTCCAGGCAATCTGGAAGTAACTGGGCTGGGGGGGGTGGGACTCGTGTTTAACTACTGGAAGGAATTTAGTGCAGGGATGGTGGTGTGATCATGCCAAGAACTATCAGTAGGGCAAAAATGTCAGAGAAAAAAGGCTGCCTTTGAACCATGAATCTCACAGCCTGGGCCACCATCAGCCCGCTAGTCCTCTTTGAAATTATTGGAATCCCCCTGCGGGGATCCTCATTCTCTGATCTCCTTTTTCACATTTGGGAATTGAAAGGAAGAGCTATTACTTTTGGGGAGGGGGGGAGAGGAGGGAAGGAAAGCTCTTAGCTCTTCTTCTCTCTTCCCAGAGCAGAGCAGTCCCCTTCAGCCAAAGATGGCAGCCTGGCATGACCTCTTCCTGCAGCAGCCAATTGAACCCGGGGCACGAAAGTAGGGTGGGGAATTGAAGGAAGGTGCCTGGTTGGGTGAAGGCTGTTCTGCGTGTAGCAAATAGCTTGGTTAATTAGTCAGTAAGCGGATTTGAACTGCCTGGGCACACTCTTCTCCAGAAAGTTGGGCGGGGGCAGGAGCAACAGCAAGGTCAGGATCCTGCGAGGACTGAAAGCTTCATTCTCTACCTGCCGCCTCCTGAAAATCTGCACTTTTTCTTGGACTGAACCACTTAACCTTCGTTCTGGGACGCAGGGAAGGTTGGAAGAGCAGGAATTAGCCTTTGGGGTAGGGGAAATGTTCTCTGCCCTCCCCGCCTCTCTGGGGCTGCCCTTGATGGGACAGTCTAGACGTGACCTTCCTGGCTGGGTGTGCTTTTGAATCGTTAGCCTTGAGGAGGATGGAGTTGTCTTCCTCCCCCCCACCCCCAAAACAGGAAGGAAAAAAAAGCCCGTAGGAGCTGCAGGGTGAGGGGCTGATCCCAGCCCACTGGAGGGGATTGGGGGAACTCTCTTTCTCTGCCTTAGCCCAGGCTATTGCATCAGTCTTCCCAGGGGCAAGGGGGTAGAATTGTAAATGGGCGTCTGAGTATTACAAGTACACCGCTTCTGTCTTGGCGAGGGGGTGCATGGGGGGCATAGCTGCTCTGTTGGACTCTCTCTCCAAGGTCTCTGTTCAAACGTGTTCTTTGCTGCAAACCTGACACGCTCTAAGAGTCTGATGATCCTCTGCTCTCTCGTCCGTATCCCCCACTTGTCTCAACCCACGGAGAACCTCTGGCCCTTGTTGTTCCAAACAGAAGCTGGGAGCTCCCAGCTGCTCTCCCCACATCCTGCAAATCTGGAATGCCTGGGATTCTGTGCGAAAAGCCGTGAAAGAGAAAAGTAACATCAGAACCCAGTGCACAGCTGGAGCTCTTTCAGATGATCCTCAAGCAGTGCCCAGCGCACCTCCTGCATGTTTCTGTGGTCCCTACGTTGGTCTGTTTGAAATGTTTTCTGTGTACGCAGCAGGGAAATAAAACAAATTCAGAGCTTCAACTTGCCATGTCCCTTCAATGTTCCAAAGACGCTTGCCTCTCAAACCCCCTTAGTTCACGGTGAGCAGAGCAGGACTCCAAGAACTTCTTCCCCCATCCTTAGAATCAGTAGAATAGAGTTGTGTACATCTCCTCCAGGGTAGGTGAAAGTTTCTTTTGAGGGCACAGAAGAAATAAAAGCTTTGGATGTTATAAAACTGCCCCCTCCTGTGAACCGTGCCGTATTTGGAGCGTAGCACACCCTTAGAATATTTGCCCCACACAGTTGACTTTCAGCCAAGTGGAAGGTGACACCTGGCTGAACCCAAATAAGATTGGAGAATTTACAGCCCAACGTGTACTCCCACTGGCCCAACCAATGATGTGGGTTGTTGGAAACATCAGGAAGGTGACAAGTCCCTCACTCTGTGTTAAAAAAAGCACCCAATGCCTTGGCAGTATCTTGACGATTGCCACCTAGGACAGAATGGATTCTGTGTTTACAGAAGCAAGCTTATATTCTGAATAGGGAGGAAGGAGAGGATATCAATGGGACAGCTAGCGTGGCAGAAATTTGAGCCCCTGTCTTAGGTTTTCCCAACAGCCTCTCTAGCTTCTAAAATGGGGGAGACCAGGCTCCAGAGGAGATGCCTTCCGCCAAGCGAATCCATGCAGATACTTTCGAGGATCTGTTAAAAACAAGACAGGAACGTAAAGTTCATAGAACGAGCTATTAATGAGGATGTTCACTTGGGGCAAGCGTGTTTGTGTCCTTAAATCACTTCGATCCTGGAAATCACGTCCCCTCCAGTGATGGGATTGCAGGCTATTTCCAGCCTTCAAACTCCCACGGAAACAAAATAGATGGCCTCGAGTTAACAAGTCATTGATTAAGGATTAAAGTTCAGAGGAGGGTGTGGAGAGAGACCTGTTTTCATTTGCTCGTCAGTGGTCCTCATCCCCTTCGTTGACTGGAAATCTCAACCCACTTTCAGCTGGTTACCGGGAACAGCTACAATGTCCTGGCAGCTTGAACCTGGGAGCACCCAAGGTAGGTTGAAGGAGTGCTTCAAGGAGTGGCTTACCGTGACATCTTTCCCTCCTAGCCCACAAGCTCTCACCGCTGGAGGGTTCTGAGCCCAGCTATCACATACTCAGAAGAAGCCGAACAGCCAGAACGAGCTACGGAGGCAACCAGCAAGGATCTTCGGAAAGGAATTGTCTGCACTGGAGGCTCTAGAAGAAACCTGGGCTTCCTAGAGTTTGACCTCAAGCCCTGAAGAAGAAATGGCCCTCCTGCCCTCTGCGGAGAGTTGTGGAAAGGAATGCGGCATCTGCTATGAATTTTACCAGGAAGTTTCCACCAGGCGGGTGCCCAAGCTTCTCCGGTGTTGCCACACCGTCTGCCTCGCCTGTCTCAGGAAACTGGTTTGCCAGAGCAGAGTGGTCTCCTTCGTGGTGTGCCCCTTCTGCCGGATGGTGACCGTTGTGCCCCAAGAAGGGCTACAGGCTTTGAGGAACGACGAAGCCCTCCTCCGAGAGATAGGACCACCAGGAGCAGAGGCATCCAAGGCCACTTCTGAAGATGGTTTGGAAGAAGACAAAGACTCCCCAACAGCTTCCAACTGGTCCCATGGCGACGTGGCCCTGTCTCTGGAGTACGCCTATAGGCCTGCCTCGCCCATCTTCACTGTCAGCAGGATCATTCCAGCGTTCTCAACGGGGTTCCACGCAGGGATGTGGAGCGGGTTCCGTCTGCAGGAGATGCAAAACGCTGTACTGGTAGAGATGACCCCGAGGGTGTCCTCAGCCCCTGCATCTGTGGAGAACCTGCGCATTTGCTTTGCAGTGATCCTGATCCTTCTTGTCGTCTCCATCTTCTTTACGCTGGTCTTTTCTGAGTAGGGAACATTCGTTCCATCCTCCCTGTAAGTCTGATCTCAGCCGGAAGGAAAGGATGTGGTTCTACGGTTAGGATGCAGCAATGCTGCAGCAAATAAATGACCGATGTCACGCTCCCAGACTTTTTTCACCTCCTGTTTGACCATTTAGAATAAGACTTCAGGGCTACCTGATCCTCTACTGATGAGGTTGCCCCTGATTAACTATTGCTCTTTTTCTGGCCACCATTGTGACTTAGCACAGCTTTCTCCATGGCAGGCAGAAGTGACAGCTGTTCCAAACTGTGGTGATCTACAATTTGCAGGAGCCCCAGCCAGGCATGGCCAGTGATGAGGGACGCTGGAAGATGGGGCTTAGCATCAGCTAGAGGGCTCTGGTTTTGATAGGATATTCAACAAGTAAAATTATCCCCAGGGAGGGAGGGAGGGGGAGAGAGAGATGATGGATGGATGGATGGATGGATGGATGGATGGATGGATGGATGGATGGAGAGGGGACCACTATCTAACACATTTTGTGGGCTTCGGGTAGTGATTCTATAATAATTTCTGCTGACTCGTATCACATTACGTTATAGAAAACGTTTGAAAGTTGCAATAAAACGTTCTCTTTTTTCTAAAGTAGAGGGTCTAGCTCTTTGAAGAACCTCAAATAACTAGAGGAGTTTTATTGACATCTATTTATTCACTGTCATTTGTCCAGCTGAGAGATGGGAAGTGGCAAGGATGTGCCGGAAGAAGGGGGGACTGAGGGCTGCGAGGCGGTATGTAGCCCGCCAGAGTGTCATTCCATCACACTTACAACCAGCAGCAAAGCGGCCCCCTTTCTGAGACAGGAAACGTACCAAAACTGAAGGATCAGCCTGAAAATAGCCATAGCAGAATTCAAACACATGTACCCCAGCCCTAAAATCCTCTGCCCAGATGACCCCAGCCCGCCCCCACGCTAAATGCAGCCATTACCCCTGTTGTGAAGTCTTGCAGGTGTTGTACTTTGGAAACTCAAAACATTAACTGTGATTACGGGACATACGATAGCCATCCTCTCTTAAAAGAAAGAGTCAGGATGAGTGGAGATTTAATTGACTTTAATTGCACTTTTTTTTAATGGGTCCTCCCCTCCAAAAAAAGAGACAAGATTTGCAAATTTTGCCCAGTTTCTAATAGAAGGCCGAGCCAAGTTAGTCCTACGTTCTGCTTCCAGAGAGAAAACTCCTGAAACAACATTAGCAAAGCTGTAAAGACAACAGCAGACAATGCATGTAACCATGAAGGTTTGGGGGAAGGAGGCAGAGAAATGAAGCCTTTGGGGTTCATCCAAAAACCACTCAACTGGCGTTTCCTTGTATATTTCCATTTATCAGAAAAAGTGACCTTTTTAAGAATTTCCCACCACTTCCTCTAAAACTAGGCAACATGATGCTACGGGAAGGGGATTCAGAAGCAGGATCAACTGAAGGATTGGGTACTGCTGGACTGAAGGCTGAATTAATCTAGTTCCTCTTCCACAAGCACACCCACCAGCCCTTACATAAAAAGGCTCATGGGAACATCACTTTCTTGAGGCATTTGGGGCGGCTATTATCCACAGATCTGACATATTTGAACATATTAGGAATGGAACAGAAACTCCTGCTCCAGGAGCCCCCTTGAAATGCAGAATCGCCTTTTCACTGCATTGGTGGGGATCTGCTTCCCAAACTAACGACACCCCAATGGAGTTAGAAATAGTTAACATCTCATTTGTTGTGAATATTACCATGTGTCTCTCACCGGCCACCTTTTGCTTAAAAAAACAAAAGGAAGGGCAAAATTGGACACCCTTGCCCAGCAAAACTGGCCTATTATTCCAATTATACCAATATTTCGATATCAAATTTTCAATTCCTCCAATACTCCAAGGAATAACTCCAGCCTGAAAGCATTTGTGAACTAGGAAGCATTGCCTTGGGGTCAGTGGGCCACTTCCAGTTGCTGTTTGGCCCGGGGAGGACAAAAATGAGGAAAAGCTGGCCCAGGAAAAGCCACCTCACCCAGAGTATGGCAGGAGTAGCACACCGCAGATACTCTTTTCGTTTTTAGAAACCGAAGAATGCAATGAAAGAAGCAGGTTCAAAGCTGCTCTCTTACGCGTCTGGGAGAAGCCAGAATCTGTCCTCCATCGCTAGAACTGCTTTTGGTCCTTCAACAGTTTCTAGGGCTCTTCATCCAACTGCCTTCTTGGCCTGCAATGCTGGGCAGCTGATGGAGCCTCCAGAGAAAGGCAGTGCTTGAAGAAAACAGCCCGGAGATGGTTGAAACCCCAACTGCTGATCCTCTCCCCTCTACTGCAGAAAAGAGGCCCCTCGGTTGCAGTTTAAAATCCCACCGTAGGCGTAGGTTGCTCTGCTTCGCGTGTATAGGGAGAATGGATCAGTATGTGGGGAATCATCAAAAGCGTGGGTGGGATGGGGAAATGGGGCAGAAAGGAAGAAAAACCTTGGTGCTTTCACGTTGGTGTCAAACAGGGACTCCGGAGCGACCGGGGGACCGTTTCAGCTCCACCTGCCCCTCCGCAAAAGCATGCTCGCTCAAAAAGGGGGGGGGGGGGGTCCAGCAGGCGACTGAGCTGAAGTTTAATGCAGAGGAAAGCTTGTTCTTTGTTTCAGTCCAGGGAGAGAAACCTCTGGTAATCGAAGCCCCCGAGGGTGCAAGTAGCAATCTCAGAATTTTGCTGTGTCCACCTGAGTGCCAGCAAGCACTGGAGGCCCCTCTGTGCAAAACCACAAAGCAAAATGTTTCCACTCAAGTCTTCCGAGTCTCGTCCGGTCGTTCATCCCAGCCAATCCAGGTCGTTGTCGTCTTCGTCGTCCCCAAAGAGGGGGGTCGGGGGTGGCCGCCCCTTTAGGCTCTGGAGGGCCAAGGAAGAGAAGAGCGAGGTTGGAACACTCTATAACAGTGTTTCTCAAGCTTGGCAACTTTAAGCTATTGTATGTGCACTTCAACTCCCAGAATTCCCCAGCCAGCCATGCTAGCTGGGGAATTC